ACGGCGTTTTTTGAAGTCCACTCTTATTTCAAACATCTCAGTGGTGATTTCGAAAATGTAGTTCAGACCTTATTCTCTGGTGCTAATTCTCATCTAATCAAACAACGCCAATATTATTTTTAGAGGTGATTTTGTGTCAGCCTGCTATTATCTGTTCGATATCCATCGCGGTCGCATAAAAGCTGATCAGAAGTTCACGGAGCGCCTTCCGAATTTGCTCACGGAACAGATGAGGCGATTACTTGACTTGGCTATGAGCGGTTGCAAAGAAGGGAAAGTATCGGATCTTATAGCTCATTATAAGGTGAGCATTATGATTTGTGTCATTTTGTCATTTGAAAGTTTCATTTTTAGACGTACATTTCAATTCTTTTGACCGTTTGCGTGGGGACACGAATGTATGGCTATTTGTATGACGAAATATGGCCAAGGTAATTACTCATTGATGAATTGGTCGAGTTCGATCTATTTTTTCTTCATTGTGCCTTTGTTTTACAAATGTACTTTTGATGCACTACGCATCCGGTTAAAATTAATGTTAGTATGAACTAGGTCAGTAGGATAGCCTTATCATTAACTTTAAGTAACATATAACCTATGTAAAACATCACCAGTCTTTTTGTATTCACTTCTGTTTCGTCCCTTCTCATCAGTAAACTTGCTGGCCCATCTGTCGACGAAATACCATGTACAAAGAAAATTTTTTACTGTGTTGGCTATGGATTGTTTCTTGATGATGTCTCGATTTATAGGGTAGAACGCGATATGTTGTCTCGTTACATATTTCTTGAATCCCTCGATGAATTCGTGTTGGATGGAACACTGGACTCGCCGCCGCCGGCATTGGTTTCGGCCTACATCACCCACCTAGCATCGGAAGGGCACTTCTCACAATTACAAGCTTCAGTCGTTCGATTTCCAATACAGTGTATTGATTTGCATTATGTGAGTATCGCTTGATTATTGTTGTGCTTTTTGCCTTTTGTTGCTCGTTTATGTTATTTATTTATGGTTCCTTAACGCTGAAAGTACTATTCAGGTAATGTCAACCTGCAAGCAGAATGGTCTTTACGATGGAATTATCTACGTGATGAACAAAGCTCTTGGAGATTATTTGTCGCCGCTAGAGGTAAATCACGTGGTTTTTTTTCGAAGTGTCGAAGTCCCTTTGAGACCTTTGAGACGCTCTACCGCTTCGTCAACCTACATTCTCAAGACTACTCCTTTCATATAACCCCACCATAACGCACGGCCATTTTTTCAGGAGATGTTGAGATGTTAAGCGATGTTTCATCTTTCGCTTCAAACGAGGTGCTATCAGATTCTGAAGTAGAGAGGGGTAATAGATTATTGTTGTATTTACACTGCTGTCTTGCTGGTCATTCTTATCCTTATGGTACTTTACCACCTGACCAATTGGCTACCGGTGCCTATTGAGGTTCGTTATTTTAGTAGCTCTTATTGGCTTATTATTTCCACGGAACTGTTCAGGTCTATCGTTGTATATTACTTCTTTGAAAGGCAAAGACGGTATTTCTTCTGGTGTATCATATCCGTATCTCAGGCTTTTGCTTCTTTTTGATGCTCAACAGGTTCGCCGCTACAGTTTCTGCCTCGACTTCTCCTACTTAAGTATGATAAGTGATGTTTTTGTATTAAATATGATCCTTTTTCAGTTTACCCATGTGATCCGTACTTGTGCTGACGCTCCGATATTTCAAAGTGAAGGAAGATTACAACGCCTTGTTGAGAATGTGGGTCTGCTCTTCAATAGTGCTTACAACCACAGTGCTTAATTCATATTATTACACTCCTTTATTGTATGCTTGGGACCTTTCCATGCATTTTTAACACCAAATCGGATGAGTGACCTCAAAATATTTGAAGATCCTGTATTGGATCTTATTTTTAGATATAAGAGGAATAGGGGGTAATAATGAAATCTTTAAAGCGGCTCGCCTATTACTTTTAAAAGAATGTAAGAGAAGTGTCATTTAGATCGGTCGATTGTCGATGGAGCTACGAAATGAATCAGCGCTGGTGCATTTTCTATTGCTCATCAGTCAGTTGGTGGACATTACTGGTGTGGTGACTCCAGTCGAGATTGTTGAGGACGTTAGCCTAGAATTTTTGTCAGGGCTATGAATGAATTACAATCAACCGTTGACTTCTGGAACTCTTTCGTTCAGGTTGTCTCCACTTTGATGCGTATGAAATGGCAAAGCTCTTCGGCAGAGTTCGCTATTGTAGAAACTCTCAAAGCGGTTCCCCAAATAGACAGAAAGGCTGTTCTTCGTATGGCTTCGTCCCCCATGAGGTCAGTTGACGGTTTTACATGCAGTTTTGAGGCTTTCTAAAAACGAATAGGTATTACTGGTAGATCTTCTTGGTCATGTAGAAGGGCTTCGTCTCTACTATCTCTCCTTTAACACGTTGACGACAGCGGAGGGCACATATGTCCCCATACGTCAAAGTGGTACCGATCCCACGCGGTCAAAGAAGCCAAAACGCGCGATGTCGTCAACGTGCTGAAGTTCGTCTGATGTTAGAACTTGAGCTCTATTTATGTAAGCTCTTTTCTCCACCATTACTCAGCATACACACATTGACGACCGCCGTTTAGTGCACGCATACCCATCTCTTTTAGAGTTTCTCATCAGTAGTAGTTTCGTCAGTAGTTTCCTTACTAATAAAAAGCGTACTATTTCCTGCGGCCGATAGTGCATACGGGCCACTCTGGACGGTTAAAAACGGGGGAACAAACTAGGTAGAACGAGCCTCCTTCGAGCGCAAGTGCGGGACATGTCATTCCGCTCTCAGTCCGTCGTCAATGTGTTAATAAAACCTTTATTCACAGGAGTTTTTAGTCATGGTTGAAGTATAGTATTGATTCAGAAAAGAGATATGCACATTTATTTATTGTGGCGAACGTAAATTCGTGGATCTCATTAACTGCTATATACGTGATGCAGATAACGAGGTAAGCGTAATCACTGGTAAGTACCGACGACTGGTTTCTCAATTGCAAATTTTTAAGGGGATATTTTCTGTCATCCGTCGAATCCTTCACACTGACCTAACCCAACAAGAGTATCAGGAGGTGTCACAAGT